ATTGAGGAACATACGTTCTAAGAAGGGTCTCAGCGCAACTATGCATGGGCGGCGATGGATTTCCATGGGTGCATTCAGCCTACCGCGACGTCCTTGCTGTACTGACCGTCGGACCCAGCTGTATGGACACATAGCGACCCGGTATACTACTGCAGAACGCGGCTGTACCGGTATCGACGCTCCATACATCGACTCATCTTTATCCAAAGACGTACTTTCGCCGGGCAACAGGCGAACAGATAACGCGTGCAAGCGCTATTGCGCTATCTACTGGAAACACGCCACCTTCGATATCTTCTCCATACTACACCGGCTCGCTAGGGAAAGCAAAGTGCGTTACCCGCGTCCTTGGTAGTGGGCGGCTGGATAAATCACCACAGTCGCTTAAAGGCATGGTCAATATACCTCAGTGCGTCGGTAATATGACGGCATTCTAGAGCTCCCATCCGAGGGTCTCTACACAGGACCGAGAGCATCGCGCGATATTCTACCACCTACGCCTTCCCTTCTAGCCTACGAATCGTCTAGTGTGTTTCGATAGGTAATCAAATTCAGGACTACCGGGTCGTGTTGTCGTATCCGAGCAAAGCAAAAACACTTCGAGCCGAGCTGGTTTTGGCCGAACCTCTAATCCGTGGCTATGCGAACGGACTACTCACCGAATGTAACGGGCTATGACGCCTAGGCCCGGGCTATATACGCCAAAGCGTTGCTAAAAGCTAGATACGCGTCAACGGTGGTCCACACACAGGATGCTCGAGCTCTTCCATCGCTATCCGAATACACCGAGGAGAACGTGCTCAGCCAGCCATCCCGGGATACGCCGGGGTGGCTGGGAAACATGGGCTGATCTGGTAGGAAAATCTCTGCATGCATCGCGGGCCGAGAGAACTCGCGCATTGATCGTGTTGCAGTCCAGCGTCGTAGTTCATTTAGTCATGTTGAAGTTGCTTGAGTTTTGCTGCGCCTGCCTTGTGGCTGGGTTCGCATTATGCGAACCACGGTACCAGCTGTCATAGCGTGGTGCTACCTTTCAGCACGCATGTATACTTACGTCTACACACCCTGCAACCACCAATACTAGGTCTTTGCCTTCTGACCCCGCATTGCAGACGGCAATGTCGGGTGTCGACCACCGACTGCTCCCCACGCGTACCTACAATTCTGCCTCAATGTACATGCAGCATGCGCATATCCACGTATTGGGTCCCATTGCCTTGCCTTTGTTGACATCAACGATATGGAATAAATGTGGAAACAACATCACTGTTACTGTTGACGACTGCATTCCAATTCGCGGGAAAGTTGACAATCCCCCGACACGTTCGGCTCCGTTGCGCCTCTCATCGCGACATCATCATTCAACGCGACCGGCTAATGCTTCTCCCCAACCCACTCCGAATCACACATACCTACCAGATCCATGAAACAAGCCAGGCTAAAGCCTGAAACATACAAGTTTGCTACTACGGTAAAACCAGCAAAATACCCATCCGCAATCTCCTGCGAACACATGTTGTAGATCAAACATTCAATGTTGCAAGTGTCCACGATGCCATGTTCAACCCAAGACGGGCGCATCCCTCCTGTCGAGTAATTGACGTGCGTCGCGGGTCGGCTCTGCATGTTTTGACACGTTCGGTATCTTTGACCCTGCATTGCAGACGTGCCTCGGTGAGGCGTGCATGCGCAGGCTTGCTCGTGTCTCAGATGTGGCAGGATTGTACTGCTGCAACCTTGCTCGTGGAGGTTGTGATGTAGAGTAGGATGACATCACGTGTGTGATATGCGCCTGCATGCGCGCTGCGCGTGCGCATTGCGTTTTCATGCCTCTACTGCTATGCGATTATCTCTGTCTGATAGTTCGTATCTTCGCATAAGTGAGAAATCGATAGTCGGATGAAGCCGACTTTTTGACCTTCATTCGTTGAACATTAAGTTGCGCCTGCCTCAATAAGCACGATGCATGTGTGACCCCGCGTGATGTGCAATCTCAGCGCGCAAACACCCAGATAACAGATGTCCAGTGTCTTCTAGATTCTAGCTACACCAAGGAGCCTGTAGTCAATCAGGGTTTCACATCATCGACCAAATCCTGCTAAGATGATCATCGCAACGATACTCTGCCTCTTCGCTCACTTCTTTGTCACGTATCCGCTGTACCAACTCTATCGCAATTACGTGTGCGCACGTAAGTTTGGCTTGCGCATCATCATAAGTCCTGTCACCCCATATACTCTACAATGGCAATTGGTAGCTAGTCTATTCCGAACTTACCTGAAAAGATACCGGTGGTTCAGAGCCATTGACTGGACATGTTGCTGGCAAGACAACGACAAGTTACATCAAGAACTTGGTCTCTGCTTCATTGTGGTGGCGCCAGGGCATAATGTGCTATGTACGAGTGACCCGAAAACGATTGAACATGTACTCAAGGATTGGAGGGGGTTTGTAAAGCCTGACAATGTGAATGGTGAGTTCGACGATGTGTGATAGGACACTGGAAGCGGGAACTGACTATGACTGTAGAGATATTGGGCACGTTTGGGCAAAATGTTGACACGGTATGTGCCATATGCTCTGGAAAGTCGCAGTTCACCCCATATTCTTAGTACTCGGGACAGTAAAAGCTAATGCAAAAAGTCAAATGGCGATGATTGGATCCGTCATCGCAAACTCACAGCGCCATGCTTTAACGAGCGAGCCTCAGCCACGGTATGGAACGAAGCTCTGCAACAGTCGAAAAACATGATCGAGCGTTGGCTCTCATCACCCGGCGGAAGCACGAACAGCATGGTCAAAGACACCAGTACACTGGCGCTCAACGTCATCTCTTCGGTCGCTTTTGAGAATACAGAAGTCAATGAACCGACATCAGGTCACCAACTGTCACTTCGCGATGCATTAGTGACGGTGATGAGTACTTCAATCTCACCGGCTATAGAGGGTATCATGCCACTCTTCAAATTCCCCTTATTCGAATCGCTGCTTCCGACTAGTACTAAGCGACTGCTACTCGCCATGCGTGAGTTCCGGCAATACATGGACGAAACTGTCGTGAGAGAGCGATCAAAAGTTGTCGGCGGGCAACCCAAAGCTGCTACACTCATCAGTACCCTGATCATGGCCAACGATACAAAGAACACTGGAAGTGGGGGTTCGAAAGCTAAACTATCCGACGTTGAGTTAAGAGGCAATATATTTATTTTCACAGTTGGTGGACTGGAGTCTACTTCAATCACACTATCATACGCATTGGCTTTGCTGGCTGTGCACCCTGATGTCCAAGACTGGGTAGTGGAAGAGCTAGATGAAGTTCTGAAAGACGAAGCGGCTGATGAATTGGAGTATGCAAGGGTGTTCCCACAACTGAAGAGAGTAATGGCTGTCATGGTACGTCCTCGTTCTTCATAAACACCGGCCATCTACTATTGCGCGGAGCATGATCGCAGGCTAACAGAATTGCAAGTACGAAACGCTACGTCTCTACAGTCCTTCGCCGCCTCTTCCGCGTTTACCCTTTCCTGCACATCCCCAGCGTACTATCCCACAGACCAGTTTAGAATCCAAGAAAGCCCATGAGAATATCGTCCTTCCGGCTAACACCCAAATCATGCTCAACTCATGGGCTTCTCACACCTCATCCGCCAACTTCCCCGATCCGCTTACTTGGAACCCGAAGCGCTGGATTCAGTCGCAATCCGCCGGTAGTAGCAGGGTAACTCTACCCGAGATACTGTCTGCTGAAGAACTCAAGCACCCAACGAGTGGTAGTGGATTCTTCGCATGGGGGACTGGCCCGAGGATCTGCCCGGGAATGAAGTTTAGTAAGGTGGAGTTTTGCAGTGTGTTGAGTAGCGTCCTGGAAAAGGTCAGGGTTGAAGTGGTGTGTCAAGACGGCGAGACGGTGGGTGTGGCTGGACAGAAGGTGGTGAGTATTTTGCGGGACTCATGTGCAGACCCGCTGCTGCTTCATGTCAGACAGCCAGAAAAGTTGGAGTTGAGAGTTGTCGAGCGCTGAGAATTATTGATATCAAAATTGGCCACGGGTGGTAGGAGCGTGGAGACTTCTTGTAGTATTGCAGTGGTAATAACTGCCGAAGGCATGTGCATTATAATGCCTAGATGACCCACGAGTATACCATCTTGGATATGCTATAGTCCATATTCACTTTTAGAACCCCGACATGCGACTCGGCGCCCGACTTCCAGCATCAGTAGACATATAAGGTACCCTTGGTGGCGGCGTATCCTTTTCCAGGAACGCAAAGATATCCTGTCCCACCTGCCGGCTGATCTTACTGTACATGGATATCATGACATCCGTCCCCGCATCGTTCAGCTCATAGTCTGGTCCACGACAGCCGGGTATAACTTTGCAGTGGGTTGCAGGCTCAGAATAACCCTGCGTGTGAAGGCAAAGCCAATTGTAACAGAAATAACACGCTGGCTTGCTGCACCCGATATACTTGTCGTCGTCAACGAAGTTGATGGCCTGCGACCTGGCGAACTTGTCTGCAATTTGGAGTTCGGCGTGTATCCTGGTCACTACCGTTTCTTTCGAGACCATGTGGTTATAGATTGGTCTCGTTGGTAATGAGTCCAAATGGTATAGCTGGAGGAATGCTTGTTGAAACTTCAAAGGAACATTTGGGCTGGTCTCTTTGAGCACACCGTAAAAGACCTCATGTGGACTCATGCAGCTTGGCGATATGGTCTTCTTGACAACTTGGGGCGTACTAATGGTCTGTATCCTGGATATTCGCTGAAGAGAAGGAACACGAATCATAGCTTCGACGACTTTGTTTGCTGCTTCGCGTGTCGCACCTATGCGATAGACAAAATGCGCTAGTTTGCCGAAGTCGTCGTCCGTGGTGCTGGAGTGTAACTTGATAGCCTCTATGCACTCGGTTCTCAGAGTATGACACAGATCAACGTAGCTGCCCAAGCTCATACTTGGTGACGGCTCATGCAGCTTCTTCAACTTGGTTCGTAGAAGATTAACTTCCTGAGTAAGCATCTGCCCATCCGAATGCAATACCACACATACCGGCGTCGTCTCTCTCGACTCTTCGGAGAGCCATTCTGCATTTCAGTGCAAGTTCCTGCACCGCTGTTTTGTAGACCTGTATCCTCGGCTTACACTTCTCGACACTAAGAGCCACAATGCGGTCTTGAATGATGCTCTGAGTCTCTGCGGTTGCGGATTTGATCTGATCCAAGACATCGTTTGCATATATCAGGATATCATCGCGTATACCTTCGTTAGCAGCCAGCCAGAGTTGGTTGTCCTTCTCTAGTCTTTGTAAGCCAGTAGCCGTGACCGTTTTGCCGCCTTTCTCCACGTCGCAAAGATAAGCGAAGGAATCCAGGAAATCTCGTCGAGCCTCACACATCGCAAGACCGGATTTTGCTCGTTGCTTTGGTTTATTCATGAAGCCAGTAAGAGCTTCCAAAAGAACTAGCCGGGGATATAAGACAGCGGATTCAAGTTTCGTGATTTGCGACTCCCTCTCTATCATCCTCCGCGGTCTCGTAGGCGTCGAAGTCGTTTCGGTCGAGGTGGGCTGATGGGTCAGTACATTAGCCCTTGGTTGCGAGCGCGACGGAGACATGGCGGCAGCGACAAAATATTGGCCAGAACTCATGCAGATCGCGATCTTTGCTGAGAAGATTTCTAAATGGCGAGCAGTCAATGTGAGATAATATGTATGAGACTCAATGACTTTCTACCGGTTTCGACAACGTTCCTCAGACGTTACGGGAGGTGCGCGTTGGTCCAATGGGAGCGTAGCACACGTATACCTGCAGGTTGACAGGGGCCTTGTCTGCGTACGGCGCCTACAGGAGAGCGGATAAGGCTCGCATTGTTGACATTCTTGGAAGCGCCTAGGTGTCTTCCTGCCTTCCTTTCAGATATTCCTAAGCCTTATGCGGTACGCGCATTGATCTGAAGTCTACTCACATACAGGTAAAAGCACTATGTACATCATGTTAAGAGTGTTCATGAGATGAGCAAGGTCAAATAGAGATAGAAGAAAAGTTCAAGGTGGCATGTTGATATGATGACATGTTGGGGCTAATCGTGCGAACCGACATTCACGAGAGACATGTCCGTGTGCGAAGTCCTAGTAGCCCCAAACCCCCCGCAATCCTCCCAGCTAGAAAGCTATATTTCTACTAAGCTGCATACTGTGTAGTCTTCCTTTCCCGAAGTCTCCCACGCCATGCGCCTATATTGCGGCGTCTTTCCACCTCGGCCCGCGTCAACTCAGGTGCTCGCATCATAGTGGTCAATCGGCCCTCCATCTCTTTCTCGGTGAGTTTGCCTTCCACGAACTTCCAGGTATCTGTGACGACGACGTATTCGACCTTATCTTCGGTGCCGTGGTGAATCCAATCTTGTCCACCCAGCTTGCTTGGGCCCTTCCAAGTCCATTCCTTCAGTTCAGTGTTCTCAGCGCTCAGATATCCCTCGAGCTCATTCTTCTGGAAGTTGCCGCCTTCCCTTCGTACAGGTAGTTTCCATTTCTTGTTTCGATCGATGATGCGCATCATCTCCGCTTTCTTCCAACTGAGCGTCTCGTACTCAACCCTCAGTACGCGCAAGCCGGGGTTCCCTTCGAAGTAGCGTAGCCACTTTTCTTCCATACTCAGTGGCGAATTGCTTTCCCAGAACCACCAGTCAGAGTATCGTATGGTAATAGTAAGCTGGGTTGGTCGGAATTGAGGTATGCTGAGGATGTAGAATAGTTGATCGCCTTCTTCGAGCCAGAACATCTGCGTGAAAAGACGAACTTTCTGGAGTGACTGCACGGCTTGTGGAGTTAGGTTGCGGAAGAACTTTTCGCACGCTGGAGTGCATGTACGGCCATCAGGTCCCCGATCTGCGTCGAGATCAGTTTGGGGTAACGTCACAGATTTCGCATAAACATACTAAACCAAAAAGCCCATTCCAGCTCTCTGAGGAACACTTTCTGTCCCTCCGCGTACGCGAGCTTGCACGTGCGCAAAAGCGCACTGCTGCCCTTGAGCGGACCTGAGAAACCTGGCCGGTACCAGTACGAGTCTTCCGGATACGCTGCTGCGCTGTCTTCATCCTGCATGAGCGCCAATTGGAAGATCTCGTTACGGATCTCGCCAGGTATGACATAGAACAGCGGGCTTTGTGGCTGAAAATTGGAGGGTGGAGGGATAGGATCAGACGCCATTGGGACAGCGCGAGTTTCGTAGCTTGAGGTAAACGGTAGATGGTCGCGAAAGCTGTCGAGAAGACGTTATGAGTTTATGTACGGCAGCTTGGAGGTCGCCGTATCAGGCAAAGGCTGATGGCTGCCTGTCTGGTGGCACGGTTGATCAGGTTAGCGGCCTTGCCAAGGCACTTCACGTCCAATGAACGGACACGCTAGCCGTCACAGACCCACCCAATGGTCAAATACGGAGATACCTCCAATGAAGGCTATGGTGAAGGAAGGAAAGCAGCAGCCCAAATCTAAACATAGAAGTATAGAATCGTCGACTGGATAAAATGGTGGATCAGGCGCGAAGCTGGTGAGTAGAGCTGACACAACGCCCGGTTATCGAAGGCAAGTGCATGTGTGACCAAAGAGGGGAAATCACACGAAGCAGCTACACAATCCAACGCGACTAAAGTGACCAAGCTTTTGGCAACGAGGGCGCTGTTATATCTAGGCACTGAGGATGACTACATTCGAAAGCTGGTAATATCGACTGCAGAGAAGAGAGATGAAGGGATGGACGCAGCGGAGCCAACACGTGAGAGCTTGACCAGTAGTACTCAAGAGATTGATAGGCTGTATTGCAAATCTATGATGCTTTGCCATCCAAAGTTATCTGGTAGTGACACATTCTGGTGCTTCACGAGCTTTGACAGAGAGCACAGCGCGACCACTAGACAACCTTGCGATACAGTGAGTGAACTCTGCTCGAGCTTGCGACATCTGAAAATGCAAGTGAGAGAAGAGTCAGCTGATAGCGCGTTGGCAGCTTACCCAGTCGGGCGAGACTAGGCTTGTTCGCGACTTCCTGCTCCCCAGCACTGAACAGGCTATCGCTCTCTCATCTCACCTGGGCACCTGAGATCATTACCCCACGCCTCAGACACGCGCGCTCGTCGACATGACTGACTTGTGTGGCCTCCCAGACGAGCTCCTAGTCGCAGTCGCCAAATGTCTGCGAGACGACACTAAAAACGGATGCAACGATCTCAATCACCTCGCGTTGAGTTGCCGGAAGCTATGCCCTATTGCGCAAGAGGTCTTACACACGGAAGTCTCTCCAAATCCGACCCCAAAACGAGGTCTTGCAAATCTCGCGCGTACTCTCTTGCAGCGACCCGATCTTGCGAACAGAGTGCGGAAACTAAACATCAGCTTATCCGGCAAGTCATTCACGCATCACCGGAGCTGCTTATCTTGCGGGTGCTATTATGAAGAGTGCCGACAGGACTGTACTTGCGGTATTCCGGAGCTTTTGGCCTTATTCCAGGGTTTTACGAGCACTGTCAATTCAAGGAACGGTGTTTCGCTTCACCACGAGGACTGGGAAGACATGCTGGTGAGGGGCGTAGACACGGCTCTCATCGGGATAATCCTGTGCATAACGCCTGCCCTCGGTACGCTTTCGCTGACGACCTTGGATTCACCATTGTATTACGAACAAGACAAGAACAACGCTGTTTGGGCCGAAGTCGAAAATCTTTTCGAGCTCATATCCAGGCACGTGAGTTTGTCAGATTGCTTCCAGGGCCTCTCTAGCCTGACACGGTTGTCAACAAATGGACGCGCACCATCAAGCTGGCTGAGTTTACCCCGGCTTGAAGCCGCGAGGTTCGACCTGTTCGAAGACCCTCTGGCGACCATAGACTATGCCAATACGATGACATCACATATCACACCTGGTGCAACAGTTTCTACGACTTTGACCCGTCTGGTCATCCAACCGGAGTTCGAATCGCTCTACTGCTATGAAGCCACTCACATGGAGGGTGTGTACGGTCAATTCAGAAGCGTTGTTAGCGGTCTTCCAAACTTGACCCACCTCTTCATTCTGTACCGCGCTGTTGTCGACCCATACGACGAATTCCGACTCCCCCACCTTCCACGAGGATCTTTCGCGCATATTGTCTCGCATCTGAAGAGCTGCAGTTTGACAGATCTAACTCTGGACGTTGAGCCCGCGCTCAAGGATTTGGTCAGGTACATTGCGATGATAGAGTATATCCACGATACAACTCCGATGACCACGTTTGCTGGATTACCTAAACTTCGCAGTCTCAATGCCCCACAAGACGCTTTCTTCTCTGCCAAGTACGGGACATTCCGAACTTGTCGTCTACCTACCACGATCGAGAAGATCGGTATCATGGATTCGACGTACGAGACCAAGCGCTACCTCAAGCATCTTCTAGATCGCCAGACAGAATGGCCAAACTTGAAGACTATCAAGCTTGGGGAGAGTCCGTGCAACGACCAGTCCGTACATCCAGATGAGAGCGATGACGACGCTAGCGAAAGCGACGCAGGAGAGCGGCGGAAACTCTCCGAGGTTGATGACTCAATCTACGAACAGGCTCGGAGCCGTGATTTGAGGGTGGAGAAGGTGCAGGATAGAACTGCATGGAAGAAGGGATGGGAAGGTCTGGGTCTGTGAAGAGAGTATGTGAAAGCGGGGACGAGTTAGTCAGCAGACAAGTGTGCGCTCAATCCGGACTGGCGAGTGATAGAGAACGACACCTGAGCTGACACTGCAATCCAAAATAGCAATATAAACTAGCAAATAGTGATAGGAAGTATCTTACGGCTTTAGTGAATGAGAAAAGCAGATGATGTATCGAACAGGTGTCTCGAGAAACTTGAACAAGCGCGATGTGTACATGCCTTTTGGAAAGCCACTAGCCCCAAGACGATTGAGCACAGCAACGCGCACTTGTCATAGCTTCGGGTGAACTATGCGTAATCGGCTGAGCTTTGGGCAGCTGGGTAAACTCCGGGGGTCGCAGAGCGGCGGTTGCCTATGCTGAGACCACGAGTGGTCGCAGAGTAAGTATGGGAGCCATCATATGACTTGGAAACTCTTGCACCGGTGCCATATCGCAGGAGTATCTTCTCTAGTGTTATGGGTCTGAAGTGGTTGCCTGAAGTTCTGAGCGATATAATGACATATCCAGGAACAACATAAGGTGCGGCGAGAACCTCCGGGCTGCAAAACTGAGTCTCGGTTTTTGGTCGAAGGTTTTCGCGAGATAACGATATGTCCAGAGACACCATATGGTGCGGCGCGTACTTCCGGGCTGCAAAATCGGGTCTCGATCGTTGGTCGAACGCTTGCGCGATACAATTCTATGTGATGCGGCGAGTACCTCCGGCTGTGAATTTGGGTATCGGTTCTTGGCCGAAGGCTTTTGCGATATAATCATGTATCCAGAGACACCTAATGGCGCGACGAGTACCTCCAGGCTGTAATGTCGGGTCTCGTTTCTTGGTCGCTGCGCTGATTGTATTCGTTATGTCGTGTCATAGGGTAGCTCTATGACTCTTGTGACGTGATAATATGCTCGTTGGACGCTTTGAGTGGAGCAAAGACACAGGCGACCTTATGACTCTTCGCCGTCGAGTAGTGCGGTACTGCAGTTAGCGCGCTTTGAGTCTGAATAAAAGGCAGCCCATTTCCCCCTCTCTCTCTCATCAGAACTATCCTCTCATACCATTTTACCATACCCGTCCGAACTCGCTTCAGACAAAACCAGTACGCATACCAGTACGCCAGACAAAACCATTACTACATCACTACCAATACCATCGCTATGTCTACCTTCACGCTCTTCCCAAAACTACCCAAAGAGCTCCGCAACGCCGTCTGGCAAGCGAGCATGGCCACAACAGCAACCGTCGAATTCGACGAAGACGAATACATGGTCACAAGCATTTCGTCACCAGCCGCCCTCTTCACCACATCAAAGGAGGCGCAGGCCACAGCGTCGTCCTCATCTCACCAAAAATTCCCCATCTGGGGCCCAGAAGACTGGGAAGATCTGGCCATAGATCCCGAGAACACGATCCTCGAGATCGTCATCAAACCATCAAAGTCCACCACCCTCAGCATCACCTGGACAGACATCTGGGGTGTGCTTGGCGACGCACTACCAGCCACAAAACGCCTTCACATCGCCTGCAACCAGCCTGAGCGCCTGGCCAGGCTGTACATGGCAGAGGAGGCAGAATACCTTGGCGTCGGCCAATCCTGCGTCGAAGCGGGATTGTTCAACAATGCCGAAACCGTTTCGGGTGAGCGAAAAACCCGACAATCACTACACACACACCTCACGGTCACTGCTAGCAAGCATACCGTTGAAGAAATCGACCAGAACGCCTCTGAAAAAGAGGTCAGCGTCTGGAAGATGACCAAACACACTTTTTCGGAGTTTGGGCCCGAGGCCAAAGTTTTCGCCAGCAAGGGGCTAGCGCGCGTAGAGGTCGACAATACCTGTAAGATGTCCGTTAAGCAGCTTCACGACGCTGCGAGGACCTTCGCGCTGCCCGCTGAGGAGGGGGAGGGGGAGGTGTCAGGGGTCGAGGAAGAGGTGGAGGAGAAGTCAGGGGCGGAGCTGACGGAGGATGCCATCGCAAAGTATCTGGAGTGTCAGGGGCTGTGGCCGCCTAAGGCAAAGGATTTCGACTGGGATCCAGAGGGCAGCGTCGCGAGTGGGGACGACGAGGCCGTTTGGAAGTGGCTGTAGTCGCTTCGCCGGACTTTTGTGTTTGTTTTGGCAGCGGAGAGATGCGATGTCTGCTCCTGGCTGAGGTTTGGCGTTTGGGTTCGGCGCTGGGTTGTGACGCGAGTTGCTCCCGGCTGAGGTTTGGCGTTTCGGTTTGCGCTGGTTTTCGACGCGAGTTACTCCCGGCACCATCATTCGCCGCACTTGCGTTTAGTTTAGTAATAAAGTCGTCCTCAAAATACTTCGTCTTCTGCTACTGTGAATGCATTCCTGTCTACACTATTGGGTTGTAGAATCCAAACCTGTTCTTTGGATCCCACTTACCCTTCAACTTGACCAACTTAGCGAGCCTTGCATCGTACCCATACATCTCAGGCCTATCCTCTTCTCCGTTAGCGTAGTTGACATAGCAGTGTCGCTTCTGGTTGCTGTTGTCGAGGCCAGTGTATAGCGCATCACGCATTGCGCGCGTGT